GATGATCTTTAAGGTCCCTTCCAACCCAAACCATTCCAGGATTCTATGATTCTATGAAACCAATGCTGTTCCAGACCGACAGCCTAAGTTGAATTATGGCATGTGAGAGGGCGTTAAATGCAAAGTATTAGTCGCCGTGGTTATAAACCAGTTTTTTCCAGGCTTTTGGGAGCGTGACAGATGAAGCTAAATGTGTAGCACGTCTTGGTGAGTGACGCTTGCGCTTCTTCAGTACAGATGGCAAAAGGGAGAACTAACCACTTCTCTGGTCTCTGTCTTAGAAATTGGTGATATCGCTGGCGTGGCCGACGTTACGATTAGACAGTCGTACAGGCTGATCTATCCTCGAGCTCCAGATCTCTTCCCAGCAGACTTCAAGTTTGACACCCCAGTAGACAAACTGCCGCAGTTGTGAAATGGCAGAGGGTTACTTTTCATTTAAAAAACCCCCAAAACGCCGACAAGAAACTTTTTTGATTTTTGCCTATAATAAAGGATGTACAAAGTGTTAATATTGAGTCTTCATGTCGTGGAACTGGAGGATGTGGAGGTGGAGCATAACTGCTGGAAGGCAGCACACATTCCAAGGGTAAACAAGCTCGTTGTGTGGTATTTTGTATGTATATATTAGTGGAAGTAAATATTTAATGGCTGTTGCAACAAACCGAATTTCATATTGTCGTACTTCTTTAGGTTTCTTTTGTAGGGATCTAGTAAGATGTATTTTGGAAAATCAAAAATATGATGTAATTCCCAAATAAACTCTTTTCCAAAAACACTTACCACCTTGTGAAACCTCACTGCGAGTTGGCGGGCACGTGCTGCTCCGCGTGCCGAGGACCGGAGTGCGGTCGGTTGGATGGCAGGGTTAGCGCCTCGCTTACGGACTAAGCAGCGGGGCGGCTTTGCTGCTCCCCTTCCGCTGGTCGTTACCTGGGCTGTGGCGTTAGCACCTGCAGGTGCAGCTCTCTGTGGTGCAGGTACTGCTCTCCAGCACGGATGACTGAACCCAGGCTGGAAAGCTCTTTGAGCTTCCGCAGGACCATGGTGGAAGATCCTGCCAAATGTGGTGTGGAAGGATTATTCATCCTTGGCACAGTCACCCTGATTTTGCAGTGGCAGTCCCTCTGCTTTGTCTCTGTGAATCTGATGTGGTGACAAAGCAGCTGAGAGAAACGAGGGCTGTTACTTTACTCGAGTTCCTGACACCTCTGTGACGCTTGGTGCTCTACAGAGGACGGTAAAAACTCTTCCCAGTAGGAGTCTGTTGAGTGTTGTGGCCTGTCACCTCCCCGTGCTCTGGCTGGCCAGGGGTTAGGCTCCTGGTGCTGTTGGGTTGCTGGGGAGCACTTGGTGGTTTGAAATGATGCTCCTCTGCGGAGCGGAGGCCGGAAGGTATCCAGCCTTCCCCAGACGAGTTGCCCGAGGGCATCCCTCTGCGCTTAGCCGGGAGTCTGCTGGCTCCTGAGGTCGCTCCGCGTCACAGGTGCAAGCGCGCTGATGGAGCGCGGAGCTGAGGGGAGCCTGCTGCGCGTCTGTGCCCTCTGCTACCTGCACGGGCAGTGGTCCTCGCCGTTTCCGTGCTGGGTTAGCTTTAATCCTCGCCCAGCGGGGACGGCCGAGGTGCGGCAGCTCAGCGTCCTTCCTGTGAGCTGGTAACAGGCCGTACGGTTCCATGACACCACCGGGCTGTTGGCTGCTGTCACGTGCAACACGGGTGTGAAGGTGGTGGTGGTTTGTGGAGCTGGGATGGAATGCCTGCTGTGTTGCCTCAAATCCATTGCAATGTTTTCTATTACCCGGGCGTTCCCGGCTCAGGGCGGCACTGCTGGCATCCTCCGCGGGAGAAGGCGCGACGCTTCCAAGAGTCTGGCCTGAGCTGCGCCGCAGCATTAGGGTTTGGGAACGCGAAGGTGAGCGCTCCCTCGTTGCAGCGCACTCGGCGAGGAGCGGCATGTTCAAGCTGCTGCGTGAGGTTAAACATGGCTGAGACGGACTTTTACGACCATGTTCCTGCTCGGAATGCTTCCAGGTGTGGATTACGGGCTGTGGAGGTGTGGTGAGTGCAGCGAGGGTGGGCTGGGCTGGGCTGGGCTGCAGATCCATCTGTTGAAGGGCCCGGAGCGCAGCAGCAGGAGGCAGGGATGTGCTACCCCAGTGGGACCCTGCCTCCCCCTGCACGTTCTGGGCAGCTCCCGTGTTGCCCTCACGGTGGAAGTGGTAGTAAGGGTGCAGCCCAGTGAGGTACAACTGGGAATGTGCTTGGAAGGGGCTGAATATTCTGAAAACCAGTTAGCGCTGGTCCCAGCAGACTGCGGCTAACGTGAAGCATTCCAGGACAAAAAACAAGTGTAACTCGAACTGTTTTTTAGGTAGTTGGGGCCTCTTTAGCGAGCTGTGCTGATGGAGCTGTGGCATGTCTTCCCCTTCAGACCGGAGCTCTCCTCGTTCGGGGCTGGAGCCGTTCTCAAGGTGGGTGTGCGCGGTACCCCAGCTGCTCTCGGGGTGCAGGACGGCTGGGGAGCTGGAAGGGGAGATGTCGCAGCGCTGCTGCGCTCCCACAGCCGTTGGCAATGGCCCGTGTCCCCTGGGAAGCGTCACCGCGCAGCAGCTGTAGCTGCCTGCTGAGCGGAGAGGCTTCCCGCTGCGGGCTAGCTCTGGCCCGTTCCATCCTCTCCCTTGGTTGAGGCGTGAGTGAAGGCTGTTGGCCCAGCCTGGCTGCCCCTCAGGGGCTCCGGGTTCTCCGCTAACGCGCCGGGGTCCTGCTCGGGGGCTGGCTGAGCAGTGACCCTGGGAGAAGGCAGCTGCGAAGGATGGGGCCTCCCTCCCCGCTCCCCAGCAAAGGCGGAGCATCCGCGGGCACTTCCTGCGCTGGCAACCTGCTCCGGTGGAAGGTGTCCCTGCCCATGGCACGGGGGTGGGAACTGGATGGTCTTTAAGGTCCCTTCCAGCCCAAACCATTCCAGGATTCCATTTAATTTAATGGCAGCTTAGGCTGGATATTTAGAACTCTCCTGCCCTGGAAGCAGCCCTTTCTGGAATGATTGCTTAGCCAGGTGTTGGGGGTAGTGGCTGCAGGCACTGGCCTCGTGAAATTGTAGTTTGCTCTCAAGAGGAGGGATTTCTAAACGCACTGGGAAAAGAAAGCAGCACACGCTGCTGAAGGAACGAGCTCCCCGGGGCTGGGTGTAGGGTTTTGTCCTCGGAGCTTTCCTGTATAAGGGGCAGGGGCGAAGGAGAGGTGATACTGAAGAAATACCCAGGAGAGGAAGGAGTGGTGTCCCCCCAGCCCTCGCTAGGAGCTCCTGTAGGGAGAAGGCCGATTGGAGCTGGCCAGACTTCGACAGATGCGGTGTCCTGCTCCCCCCGGAGGCAGCCTCCCCTCCCGGGAGAGAGGAGGCGTTCCGAGCTGTAATCCCTTAGCTGAGATTGCGGGAATGGGGCCGGGAGGGTGCTGAGCTACCCTGAGGGACTGGGTTTGCTTAAGTCCCCCCCGACTGCCCATTCTTTTCTGAAGTCACCTGCGGGCAAAAGACAGCAAATCACTTCCAAAAACAGCAAAATCATGTTTGGGACACAATTTACAAATTACTCTATTTAAAACTTTTAATTTGTGATATTAATGACTGCAAAACACTTAGAATGACATTTGTTAAAGGCACATTTCATTTTAATGCATAGTGTACCATTCTAAAATATCCTAATTTCCTTACAAAGTGCTTGAGCAGCCACATACAGATAAAGTATAGCAAAATATATTTACAATCTAGGGTTTAAAATCTTAATCTGCCTAAAAATATTTTAAAAACTACAGAGATAAAATTAGTGCTTTGTTTCAGCTTAACTGGGTGAACATACCCTGCCCTCTAATTTTTTTTAATTTTTTTTTTTTTTTAGTGATTTACTTAGATTAAAAAAGATTTCTGTACAAGATGTAGTTACAAAAAAGGTATTTTTGAGGATACTTTCATAAATGTTAAGCACCCTGTTAGATGCTCATATATATATATTTGGGAACCAAAAGGGTGAGCTGACTGTACCTCTAGAGTGTTGCTGTCAGCTGGGTACAGGAACCTGATCTTTCCCGTTAATCCGGATCTGGAAACACGCGATGCCGAGAGGTTGGCTCAGCCTGCCGTGCCCGGTGTGCAGAGCTGCTTAAGATGCCGTCCTTGTTCCCGGGGGGCGCCTGTTTTAGGACCGCTAACCGCCTTTTTTATAAATTCCTGAAGCCTCTCCCCTGCCTGACGCTGCAGGTCTGTCCAGTGTCGCGATCTCGAACCACATGCCCGCGTGGCTCCTCCTCGAATGAGTAAGGACTCCGAGGCTGGGAGTGACCCGCGCGCCAGCTCCCGCGGTCCGTGAGCGGCCGACTCGTGGCTTCTGCGAGAGCACGGGCGCCATCGGCGCTGAGCGGGGCGGGAGCTAAGGAACCCACGGGAACCTTATTTGCCAGGAAAGTTTACCCCCAGCACGCCAGAGGCCCGCGACAGGTCTTGGTTTACAGAGAGCACAGTGTCTGGTCTAAGCTACTTCTTCAGCTTCTGAGGTACAGCTTAGTGTTAAGGGGTTTATAAAACATACATTGCTCTTATCAAAAATATTTATACATTCCGTGACAACGTATTGCTTCCACCCTCAGGGACTGCCAATCGAAGCTGTGGAGTTCAGCGGGCCGTGTGGGCACAAACGGGGTTTCCCCCCGCTCGGTTCCGTGTTGGTCAGCCGGCCGCCGTGCGACACGAATGACGCGGTGGAACGGCGTTACCTGCCTTGACGTAAGAACACGTTACGGCTTCCGAATACGCGTGTTCGCAGCACCTATCCGCTGAAACTCCTTACGTTTGCTAGGTGACAGGATACCGTACAGCAGCTGGAGGAGGGTGGAGGGGGTTAGGTACAGACTGGTTAACTGATGCGCCCACTCCACGAGCGGGAAAGGCATGAGTTGGAGTACGGAAGCGGATGGGCTTGGGAAAGGCAGACGCTCTGCTCTTTGTGGGCAGGCTGAGCGACATCCTCGTAACATTCTTCATATCAACCGGGGTTTAAGCCATGCTTAGAAAGCTTGAAGGCAGAACAGTTTGGCAAGTGGCTTTGGTAAACTTTCCGGATTTTTCTGGATTTTTCGTTGCAATGGAAGCACTTACACTGTTGTGACCTCAGAGGCAAGGCATTTAACATTTTTCCTAATAAATACCATAGAAAATTTACAAAACAAGGCATATCTGTTCTCAATACCATTATTTGAAGAACGCAAGACGAAGGTGTACAGAGAGACGCGTGGTTTTATAGCGTGCGCGAGACGGCATCCGCTGCCTTCTCCAGCTAGAACCATGTTTTGTGAGTATCATCGGCATCCCAAACTTCTCTTTCAGTGTGGCTGAGCAGAGAGAAGTGATTACCTAGCTCAAAGTCTGCTTTTTCCCCACTTAACATCACTTTTTAAAGTATCTGCCTCATCTGCTGCAGAAGAGCGAGAGAAACAGTACAGATCCACGTGCGCCCGTGTGTGGGAAGCTTAACACAGCCCGGATTCACCAACTCAGCTTAAGAACTCCATAGACCTGCTTTCCAGTGCTCAGATAAAAAAAAACAACCCAATATACAAAGAGGCCACTCTTCACAAGAGTGGTGAAACAGTACTTAAAATGATCTTCATGTGATTTAAAAACCAGAAGCTACAGGTGGCACAGAGAGCAATTGAAGGGTGGGTATTCTTCCGAGAGGCGTTCTTGTGAGCCAGTCAGCTGGGGTTTCACAGTGTCTGGAAGTTAACACCAATCAGCAATGTAATCAAAATCTCTGAACATTTCCTGCTCTTCTTCTGACAGTATCCTTGGTTCCCGAGGTGGAGTGAGGATAGGTGCTTCGGAGGTAAATTCATCGTCAAAATTGCTAACGTCTTCTCGTCCTCTAATGGTGGGTACAAAAGGAGGCTTCACTTTCTTGGCCAGTAAAGCGTTCCAATCTATGAGCTGTAAAACAAACCAGCTGATGTTTAGTTCCCTCCTCTGCTCCGGTGTGTCCTTAGCAGCAATGCCCCTTCATACTCACCCTGAAGAAGTGATGCTTTTTCACATCTTCAGCATCTTTCTCTCCAGCTCCAAGACGCCGCTCTGGATTCCTTCGCAGCAGCTGACAAAACACGAGAGATGTCAGTGGGAAAACTGAGGGGGTAGGAGTGAGGGAGGATGGGTGCTGCTGCCTAAGAGCCAGCACCAAGACTGGATGGACGCTGCCATTCACGCTGCCTGACCTGCGGCAGATTTTCCGTCCCCAGGAGAGGGAAGGGCAAGACTGGCGACGCGCAGAGCTGGACGCAGCAACGCTGTCAGAGAGGCCTGAACCCGTCTGCGCCGTGGCCCCAGCAGCCGGGCTCTGAACACGCAGAGCTCGCTGCAGATCTTGGTACCCGAGGTGGCATGTGGGGCCAGCGTTGGGCACAGGGAGATGGAGAATGCTGCTGTGAGCAGGCCCAGGCAGTGCCTGACCTCAGGGGGGGCTGATGCAGGCAGGACGCAGCCAAAAGGTAACGTCTGGTACACTCTAGGAATTCCTCAGGTGGGAACAGCGCACGCGCAGCTACAGCTAGGAAAGTGCTCAGGGTACCCTGGGGATACTGGTGTGACAGTTTTCACAGTAAGAATACCCTCCCAGGCACTGCCTTAAAGCTGTATTGGTCCTTCTTTCTCTAGACACTCCCCCTGGGAGGAAGCAACCGTTTCCAGCTCTAGACCATTTACGCTGTTAGGTCAATACTTGTGTCACAGCAGTTACTGTGACATGCGTTCGCTTCCATGCTCAGCTGGCTGCTGACCTGGGTGCTAGCCTGATACTCAGCGTCAAACATTTGAGGGGGGAGACTGCTTCCCAAGGCTTGGATCCCCTCCAGGAGACAGACAGCTGTCTATCAACTGAGATGGGCTTGAACTTCCGACAGGTTCAAGCACCTGCGTGAGATAAGCAGAGGCATCGCACCAAGGAACAGCACTAATAAGAGTCACAAGTGTCAGCTGTTCTGTGCCAGGAATGGGACTGCAGATGCCACGTGGACCGTGTTCCCTGCCCCAGTTGGAAGGAAATCAGAAAGATTTAGAAGCCTCTGAATTAAAATATTCATGTGACAATGTTAATCTACCAAAGAGGTCAGTGCCGCAGTGTTGCGCTAGGAAATGAGAGCTGAACTTCTCTGGTTCGGGGTGACTAGGAAACCTCGTTCCGGGAGAAGAGCGAGCCTGCAGAGTTCTACGTTTCAGAGCAGAAAAATGTCCCTGAACAATAACGTGGAGGGGCACTGACAGGTAAGGTAACCCCAGGTCCTACGCAGCACAGTGCGGCACACGTGACACAAGTCTGAGCTTTCAGCTGTAGCAAAAGGACACTAAGTGTAGGTTCTTAAAAGTACTTGTTCCTCACAAAAGGAATGAAATTTCCTTAATGTGGAGAGGAAGCAGAAGAGGGGAACACTGTAATGACATTATGTTCTTACCCGTCTCATTATGGAGATGGCTTCCGTAGACAGAAACCGTGGATATCGTACTTCATCGTTTACAATACTGTCAAACACCTCTTCCTCATCATCTCCAGGGAACGGAGACTGTGAGGAAAATAAACCATTACTGTTAAACAGGCTTAAAAATCCCTTACCACTGAAACCAACACATGTTCAGCTGACAGTTTGGGATCAGATGCACTGCAACGAGTCTTCCCCTTCCCAGAAACACAGGCAGTTTTGACTGAAGGACTGTGCTTTAAAAATGGGCTTTTAGAAGCAGAAGCACCTGAAACTGGGATCTTCTCTGACACAAGATATAGGGGGAATGTGGAAAGCATGTATCAGCTCTTCGGGACAGCTGCCATTCACATGGTATGAACAAGACTCACTTGTTTTTCTATGATCTTTTCGCATCTTACAGCTTGAGGGTTTTCAAGTGCTTTTGAAATGGCCTGACAGATGTAGCCTGACACCCTACAAGCTTTTTTGTCCTTTTTTACCTGAAAGGAAGTTGAATTACCATCTTCTTTGAAAAAGAACAAAGTGATGAGCAAACCTATACCTTTTCTCCAGGTTTCAGCACATAAGCAACGGAAGGGTCCAGAATGTAAAGCGACGTACGCTACGGTAAATAACTATCCAACAGTAATCTATTTACATAACCAGCTCATTTAGGGGGAACGGGGGCATTCTGGTTAGTGCATGTGTGATTCAGATGGTAAAGCAGCATTGCAGCTGGCATAACCTTTCACCAATACCCCTGTTTTACAAGCTCAAGTTCACTTCCCTTCAAGGTGCAGGAGGTACGGAGTTTGTCTTCTCCCCAGAAGCATCTGAAAGCGGAAGGCTGCCCTACCTGTACGCATCTGAAGCTGGGCTCCCCAAAACCAGACAAGCTATGTTCTTGCTTAGAAACACTGATACTAATGCGCCACAACTGTGATTTGATTTAAAGCTTAATGGTGTAAATAAAACCAAAATAAACCAAAAAGCTAGACTTTAAAGTCTTGGACCAGCTACAGCTCACTGACTTCCACAACTGCTGATAATTCAAGCTCGTGACGTGACCCATCAACTCCTGTAGCACTACAGCAGCCGGTATCAGGCGCTGCTCCGTATCCCGCAGTTTCTTCTTGATGAAACACATCAAGATGCTCACGGCAAACCCCAGGTCTGTCTACCCACAGTGTATATACAATACGGAGAGCGCTGTGAGAGGCAGGGCATGTTCAATGTTGACGGGCTGGCACCTGGAGTTCTGTGACCTTCTGAACGTAGTTAGTTCTACTGACTGGAACTTACCTCGCCCACTAGCATCTCATAGATAAGTACACCGAGACCCCACCAGTCCACAGCTCTTGTATAGGAAGTTTCTGTCAGCACCTCTGGAGCAAGAAATTCCGGCGTGCCACAGAATGTGCTTGTTCTGTCTCCGAATCCCATTCCTGAAAAGTTACAGTTAATGAAAAGCAAGCAGTGTTTTCTGCCATCCTGCAACCTCTTCCTGCAGCAAGTAACATCTCTCTCTGGAGCAGCTTCTGCCCACAGAGTAGTTCCAGGGCCTGTCCTGAAGGCCCAGGCCAATGAGGTAAAACATCCCCCTGTCCCTCCCTCCCATATCCTTGTTCTATGTGTGCTTCAGTGTAAGTTTTTCTATCCCCAACTGTATGCCATGAGCCCAACTATGCTTCCAGTTGCACCTCTGTCACCCAGTCACCTTGGAAAGACACCAACAATCTTAGGCTGTGTTTATGCTAGCTAGTTTCAGAGAACACTCACGCAGTCAGACACGGCTACCACGGCTGCTTCTGTGGTGGCAAAACTACACCCAGTGGAGCGAGACGGGGAGTGCAGCACAGTAGGCCCCGGAGTCTTGCAAGAGGGGCGCAGTTTGGGGCGTCAGCTCCACAGGGGCTGCTGTGATGCTTCAGGTGGGGGGCGCTGCAGAAAGCTTAAAGGCCACCATGTATTTTTCCCCTCAAATGATACAGGGTAAGTTGTGGTTTTTACACTTTATGCACTGGGCAGTCCAAGAGTCTCAAGAAACAGTCAAGAGTAAGAGACTATGGAATTCCCCTAGAAGGAAGATTTAAGGGCATTACCTTCTTTGCAAAGGCCGAAGTCAGCAATTTTCACAAAGCCTTCTGTGTCCAGCAATAAGTTATCCAACTTCAAATCTCTAAATGAAGATTTGAGAACAAAATTGCATCACTGATGTTTCTTCAGGACTATTCAGAATAGCTGAAATTCATCTGCTGGAAACAGGTCAGTGACTGCTTACCTGTATACTATTTTGTGTTCGTGTAAATACTGAAGTCCAAGAACCACACATGCAGCGTAGAAGCTGTTGGAAAAAACATTTCAGTGATTTCAGTCTTGCTTTTCAGAATCTGAAGGCCGTTACTACTGGTCTGTTGTATGAGCCATCATCCGAAGATTACCAGTTGTTTTCTCGGGTACAGATTAGTTTTATACAAGGTCAGAATTTTAAAGCCAGATGGCAAAAATGCATAAACTTGCAGCTTTCCAGGTGCAGTATGTTCGCTCAGCCTGGAGGATAAATTTTCTGTAGTGTCTCCTGCCACGACACTGATGGATTTCTGAACTAGCTCATCATTTCCCTTTTTAGCCTTACCTGCTATTTATCTTTTCAGTTAGTTTTTATGTAATCTTTTTTTTAAAAGTATTACAAACATTAATAATCTTTGAATTCAATGTAGATACAGGAATATTAAACCTGCATGTGTCTTTTTCTAACAAAACAGTTAAAAATCTCTTATCCTTTCAAAAACGTACACAGTATTTACTGAAATGACATAATGTAGAGGCATGTGGTGTTGAAGACCTTAGTTCTTAACTGAACAAAAGGCCCTTCACTTGAAGCCACAAAAAGGGATGGATACTCACACTGCTCTTGGTTCAGAGAAGACGTCGGTGTGAATGTGCATCATCAGATCCCCCCCCGCAGCATATTCCATTACAAAGCAAACGTGATCTTTGGTTTGGAAACAAGCAAAAAGGTTCACCAAGAAGGGATGTCTTACACTATTCACAGTTTCAAATATTCGCTTTTCACACATCAAGCTGCAAACAGAAAATCAGTAAAAATTTAAAGATGAATCCTGAACCACAATTTTTCAGCTCTCAGAAACTACTGGTAATTTATAGCGTATGTTTTTTCCTCTGTTCCTCAGGATAAGATTTTTAGTTTTAAGAGAGCTTTTAATATTTGAACATGCATCAAGTTGATGCCAGGATTTCCACGAAGCTGCATTCAGCTTTCACAAATGAAAAAGGAAACTTAGCAGTCCATGAGAATTGTACCCTGCCAACTGTCCTTCCAAATACTCATCAGACTTGCATGAAGTATGCACCGGTATCACGTGACACTAGCTTCAATCCATTTTTATTTTAATTGCATACAACACACAAAGTGGAAAACCAGCAACAATATTATAGACATCTATCTATAGTAATTTCAGCTTATTTTTCCTTAAGCCAATTGTTAATTTGTAGCTTATTCTTAATAGTTATCTTTCTTCCTGCAAGTCAAATGAGTATAGTCACTATTAAACAGCTGTGAAAGCATCCTCTTGTACCAAAACTAGACATTTTTGTCACTGCCACTTCACTTCCAAGCAAAGAAAATACCTGAGTTTTGGGGCAAAAAGATTAAAAAACCACAACAGTGGAATCTACACAGGACTTAAGGGAAAACATGATGACCAAAGTATGACATGTTACCCGTCGAGAAATACCCATCATAGGTGTTTCTGCCAGTAAAGAAAACAATCACTGTCCTCCTGAAGTGTGATGGAAGTCTATAGAACAAGTAATTGGAACAAATGATTGTAAGAGAACCTAAATGAAAAACAGGATCAGCTGTAAGTCAGCGCTGTGGTACAGGCGTGGTAAGAGGGGCACTAAAGGAACCAGTATTCCTGGGATACGCTGCTTCCTCCTTCCCTGTAACAGACCACACTCGTCTGCAGCAGCCAACTGAGCAGGGAGGTGACAACTTGTTTTGCTCTTCCATGGAGTTTGACTACTGCGTGGTTGAGCTTAAAGTTGTGTTCCAGGCAGAAAGAAACCCAACTGATATATGGAATCCATGTATCACATTCTACTACAAACTGACCTGTCTACTTCATCGCGAGCAACGATATCTCCTTTCTTTAGGGCTTTAATAGCAAACATCTCGTTCGTGTTTTTGTACTCTGCCAACAGCACCTGAAACAGAAGATAAGCAGTTCATTTAAGAGCTGTACCTAGTTTTTGATGGAGCTTTAACATCTGATACAGCCTTTTGACATTTACCTTTCCAAAATGTCCTCTGCCCAGTACAGCACAACACCTGAAATCCTTCAGACTGAACTGAAATCTTTGTTGTGATCTATGTAAACAAAAAAACCAGTGAGAGATCTTCTACTTTGCTGCTGATCTGAATAATATCTCTTAAAGTGAAGAAAATCTCCCCATTTTTACCTTCTATCTTCAAGTTCTCGGGTGTTGCTGTATTTTATGTCTGAATGGGGAGCATCAGGCTCACAGATTATTTCAGGCTGGAGTTTTGGGACAATACTATTTCTGCCATTTTCAAAGTCAAAAGCTGTTACTTCATCCTGTGAAGGGAAAGTAGTCTGCAAATTTCAAACTGACTGCAAAGTCAAATGAATGCAGAAATTTTACTGTAAGCATGTGAAATTCTTAACACACGAATTGCCTACTGGCACGTACTTCTGAATGATACAGATAAGCAGGCTTTCAACAGAGTGAGGAAACCTATTGCTCCAGGCATTCTGCTCTGTTAATCAAACCATTTTTTTCCTGAATACTCTTAATGACTTTGGGGTTCTGTTTTTTCTGTGGCAGAACCAACGACATGGCGAGTTAAACACACCGGCCATGGAAACAGTCTGCCACCAAGAGCAGTCAAAGCATGCTGTTGAGACAGACCTGTATGTCTAAGTGAAAGGAGCATGTGCTGAAATACAAGGGAAGAAATCCATCAAAGATGCCAGTATTACAACCTGGATAAACTGTATCGCCTGAAATTCTTGAAGTCACTTGCCTGAGACTGCACATCAGAAGCCTTTATCTCGGAGGAAGATTCACATATTTCCCCAAGGGAAGATGCTCGGGGTGGAGCGGGTGGAGCCTCAGGCTCAAGTTCAAAGTCCAATTTGGCTACAGGAGAGTCACTAGGAAGAAACCAAATAACTCCTCAGTGTGTAGCAGAAACTGTTTGAATAGGATGAAAACCAACTTAAACCCGCACATTATGTAGATTCCTCCTAACACAATTCTTGTGTGTGTAGATCTGTGTATAAAATGGATGTCCAGAATTAAAACACTGAAAGGTCTGCAGTCTTCCAGAATAAACAGGTTTGACATACGCTACGTCCACTTGGGCGTAACCACCTCGCTGTTACTCTTACTCTTAAAAGTACTTAAAGCCTGTAGACACGACCTACCTGGCTGACAGTGTTAGTTCAGGGATGTGTGCATCAACCACTGGCCCAGTAGCAGGTACTGGTGCTTGGGGGCTGAAGGTGCCAGAGTGATTCACTGTTGGAATAGCTCTTCTTACCAGCCTTCCCCAAGTGGCAATATTAATATTCATTTGAGGAGCTCTGAGAAATGTTTTGCCTGTGGATGTTGTGAAAAAAGAAAATCAAGTGCAAGTAGTTTCCTTACTTGTTACCAAAAGCTATAATTAAAAAAAATCATATTAATCAGTTTATGAGGAAGAAATTGAATTTGTCATATTACTTAGCAATTCCTAATTATTCACTATTAAATGCCAATGAATAATAAGGAATTCTAAACCAAAACATTTCTAAATGCTACGCCAAATCCTTCATTATCAAGAGCTTTATTCACAGGCAAATACTCAGTCTCTGTATATACATATATATGTGTATAAAATATCACATATGTGCACAATTTTCAAGCTTTACATATTTATATTAAACAATCACCTTGCTGTTTTGAAAAAATTTTCTTCTGCCTCTGGAGTTTTGGTCTTCTTTCAATAACAGGATTAAAAAACGTAACCTGCAGTTCAAATAATGTATATTATAAATTCAAGTTTCAGAACAAAATGCATTCTTAAAAGTTTTCTTAACTATTTTGTAACATAATAATGGAACCCTAGAATGGTTTGGGTT